ATTGAATCACTGACAACCAGGCTCCGTTTGCACCTTTTCATTACACACATACATGGGAAAACGAGCTAAAATCAGAACATAGACAATGCTTGAGAGCAGGTGCGGCAAGAATACTGTTTGAAAGTTCATGGTTGAGTTTAAAGGAAAACTCAACATTAGTATGTTCCACGGTTGAGCAAGCAGACATTGTCATTTAGTAATTCAAGCACACTATCCATTTCCCTCCCATGTTCTCTATGATCCCTACAAATAGAAGGCTATGAGGTGCCGTAGACTTCCTCTTTCGGTACTGAGATTTTGGTGAAAACAAACGTATTAGCAACAGTTTTTTTATTGTTGCTATAAGAACGGTCAGTGAATGACAAAATCGTCATGAATAAGAATGTAAAACTGTAAGAGTAGTGAACACATACGAGACGCTTCACATGAGCTGACTGAGACTCCGATCCAAGATCTCTATGCGTCGACAGCAAAAAAGGCTCACCGAAACACAGCTGCTAACTTGCCAAGTTGAAACCCGCCTGTACTAACTTGCTCAAAATAAAATCAACGGTTTACCTGAACAATCCACTAAATGTCTTAGGCACGCCTCATATTGTTCCAACGTTTGCTTCATTGAAATCAATCGCTCCTTGCGTAAAGACTCCACGGTTGGATTAGACTACAAAGATGAAAAGAAAATTCACACGGTCGGGAAGAGCAAAAAAGTGCAAGTACACCATTATCAGCCTGCTGACGATCAGAACCCTGATGACAACNGATGACAACAGATAGAGGGCAGACAACATCGAGAACAAGAATGAAAGAATGACGGCGAGTTTCATTCACATAGTTTTGATGGTAACCCATAATTTATGGTTAGAAAGAATTCTCGGACACTAATCATGAGTAAATGACCTCAAAAACGCGTCTCGTGAGGGTGTATAAAGTAATCGGGAAATGCATGAACGAAACAATCAGTCAGTGATCGGCAAAAGTAAAAGCGTAACCGTGAGCTGAATGCGCTCAACACTTGAGAATGATGTGACAAACCGGTGGGGTTAAGTTGCCCACACAAATAAAATCGGTTACAAACGCAAATCCAGGGGTCGCTGATAAATGCGAATTTGGCATGAATGCAATGGGGACAGACACATGCACACACATACACAAGCAAACGGTTCAGGTACCACATCAACTTGGTGCACTTTGTGGAGAAAGTACACCGATAATACCATATGCGAACGCACAGACGCGCTCGTACGAATTTACTAACATGTTGTTCCGAAATGTGAAAGTTGGGATAGTAACATGACCATCCAAATACTAAACCTGGTGAAAACACAACAGTAACAATAACAAACGAGAATCAGGTTGAAAGCTTGCACGCACGCACACACACAGATCACATCAATGTATTTCAAATGGCATCTTTACTAACGAGGATTCCAACAACAAGAATGGTCTACATACATATATACCACACCTAACTTAGTGGGGCCTTATGTGGTTCGCCACTCCAAGTCCAACGGCTTGGGTTGCCGATTTCCATCACTGAATAGCAAGTCCTCGAGACTATGGGGTTTTCCCTGCCTGTTGTTCATCACACTAAAGTGTGCATTATAAATATATATATATATATCGAGAGAGAGGGATGTAAAACGATACCGTTTTCATGTTTATCTAACAACAAGATGGAGTGGTGAAAACTACATTGTTGTTTTGTGATAGATTCGCCTTGCGGGTCACTGGTAGGTAATGAGATAATTTGTGGGAAATGATCAAATGCATTAAATGCTATAAAAGCTCGCGATATTCTGTTGCCGGAACAGCGTGGATAGGGTCAGTGATGAACAACCCGAAGAGCGCGCGAATGAGCGTGACCATGCATTTACATTAGGCAACTGCTCCCTAAACAGTCACATTGTTCAATTCACTGAACACTGCTTCAGTATTATCCTTGCGAATGATATTCCTAAAAACAGATTTGAACAACAGAAGCGCCAGTAATATTGATTTTATGTTGCTCAGGTCCAATGAACCACAAAGATGGACAATAAAAACCGCTTGATTTAAACGATAGTGAGTACTATAAATTTGTTACCGGACTGAAGATAGTATGACAGGCAGACTGACCGTGTTTCTGCCGTCTTATCGAACGTCAGCAAAAGAACAAAATATTCACTAATTAGAGGTAAGTGAGGGTGAGAGTGCGTTTCCTAGGGATTTAGAGCTTACAAATGGTCTTTCAACAAGAGGCGCAACAGATAAGTTAGTGGCAAGTTTGTCAGACGTGCTTTTTTCATCAAGCGGAACACTCCATTGTGGACACAATGCGTCCGAACCGAGTTAGATTACTCAGACAACTAGGAAGTGAGATCATGGTATTTTACGAAAGTGCATCTTCCTGAAACGTTACAAACTAAAGAAGCTTCTTAATTAACAAGCCAAGAACAGAAATGCACTGTCTGCTCTCTCTCTCTCAACGATCCACAGAAGTCTTGATGTGATGTCAGACTAACAAATTACCTGCCAAGGGTATGGTTTATAACAGGATCATGTTTGGAGGAGATATCACCAACGAAACGTAAAAGATGTAGACGAGTACCAAGATGCAGACAGACCCATCGCTGTCGGGAGAAAAACCTGATGTGGAATGTATTGCCGTCGGGTAAGCTACAAAATGACTGAATGGTGAGATAAGTAAGAAAAACTTCATGAGGATGCGAGATTGAGCATTTAGCGTTCAGCACAGACCGTTACGGTTGAACTCAAAAAGCATAAAGATTGTGGCAACAAGAAGTTGAAAAGAAAATGCTTAACTGACGCATAGTGATCAATCTATGTAGTTGAAAGAAATTGGGACAAACAATATACTCGAGGCAACCCCAGAGATTCCATGTATATGATAACGGGATACATTGCAATGTTTCAAACTTGATGATCACCGATTCGTATTCAGTAATGACTGGGGTTCTGCCACTAGGCCATTATTGGCGGAAAGTTGAAAGTTACAAAACAGGCTTGAAATTTTGATACTGCATCCTACTGATTGCAATTTAGTGCAAAACATACGTTCCAGTGTGTTGAATTGAAAAGCAAGTGCCGAAGTCCTGGTGCTGTTATGGCTATTGCACCAAAACGCAGATTCGAATCCCATACAGATATCTGATACTTTCACGATAACATCACATAAAAAATATTCAAGTTCTTATCCGGCCCGAATGTGCTATACTGTATCACAAGTACTTACCGAGCCAGCTCGAGACAGAGAATCGCAAAGTAAATGTTCACGTTGAACCATAAATTTCCTGTAATGTAAAAAGTAAAAACAAAGAACAGGGTGAAAGGATCAAATTTTCGTGTTTGTATTCAATAGCCGAACACCGAAAACGATTGCAATTCATTCAGTTTTATCATTGAATTCTCCCTGACACCGTGACTCTGTGGTGCATTAGCCTATTGCGTGGTCCAGGAACAGTGGTTGTAACATAAACGCATTCAACAAACTATAACTTGAAGATGTGCCGTACATTTGATTGCCCGATGCGCGTAGGCCTGATAGAACCCCAGTAATTATCACAACCCCTACATACTGTTAATGTTCACGATGGAAAGCATTTGGAATTTTGTGGACTAATTTCTTAACGATTTGCAAAATTAAACAATGGGAAAACGGAAGCGTTGGTCTTCTGCGTGTCTGTATAATAAACGTGGAATTTAAACAACACGACCACAAAACCTTGGTAATCCACCAGTAATCGAAACGAGAAGTAAAGGGAAAAAGTGACTGTATGTTGAAAATCGATGTACCAGACGGTGGGTGTGCTCAAAGCGTGCTCGAAGGTTTGGGTGTTTTGCNAGTTAAAAGGTAAAACTTTTGAGGAAATCGAGAAAAGAGCGAGTGATTGTTTGAGCTGCACGAATACTCCGACAATAAATAGAGCTTCCCGGAAACTGTACGCCCGAAAATAGTCTTTGGATGGACAATTTTGTATCCAAGAGAAAAACACAATTCAAATAATCGACGTACACTAACTACCAAAAGCATGTTGCATTCATGAAATCCAAAACTATTTCCTTGGAATCCCTAAATCCGATAGCCTCCGAAATCCTCAGTATGGTCGGGGGTGGGTGTCTAGGGTAGCGGCTGGTCACCCCTCCCTTGCACCTAGCTAAATGCTCCAATACCACCAGATATCCTCAGATAGCTTCTGTTGAGGAAGCCCTGCTCACTACCTTCTTGTGGTGGAAGTGTTTTCCCACCAAATTGAGAAGTAGAAAAGCCGACATCAGATTCTATAACCGGG